AGCTGGATGCTGATTGGTTTCTAGGCAGAAAATCACACTAGAGGGAACAGAGCATAAATCACAACTTTACTCGAATCTGCATGATCGAACTAATTTGGAAATTTTATTCGTTTCCCCATAGGCCCAAACTACTGCCGCATCATGTGACATCATCCAAATGAAAGGAATTAATTGGTAATTTCATTATAGCTTTTTTTTTTTCTATTCATTGACATTCATTGCTATGTTCATTCAGAGATTCGTATACATCCGAATCTCCGAAAATCCAATTTTGACCAAAAATCGAAATTAAATGCAGCTTGGCTCTTCAGCATTGCTCCAACTAAGCTTGGATTCGATCCGGGTGTAAGCCGCATTGCTGGCCTAATGGGCTGCAGGCAGGAGATTGGTTGCCCGCATTGGGATGCTTATGACCTCTCAAAGGGGCGGGGGATGCTTATGACCTCTCAAAGGGGCGGGGGATGCTTATGACCGCTTGGCCTTATATGGTCACATGACCATATTGGGGTGATGACATTGTCTTAAGTTGACCATGTGGTCATTATAGGTCAGTGATGTCACAAGCACCCCTTCCCTTTACATGCAGCTGCGGGTGAGAAAAACCTCCTGCCTGCACCTCGTTGGGCTGGTAGGGAAGCAATCATGTGACAACATCCGTGGGTTTGGGCAGACTGGGTTGGTACCAGAACTCAGCTTTTCCCTACCCTGAACCAGGTTCCTGATAGTGGCAAGGGTGGCCAGGGGTGGGCCAACAAGGCGTTCGCCTAGGGCGGCATTTTTCAGGGGGGTGGCAAAAGAAGGGACACGTGGCATGGGGACCAGATCTGTGAGAGGCTGTGGGCTGTTTGACTGTGTATGGAGAGCCCAACTGTGAAGGTGAGTGTCTCTCTCTCTTATGCCGGGTGGGGGGTGTCATTGCGGCGGGTGTATGGGGGGTGGTGGAAGGCTCTCTTGGCCAGAGGGGGAGGGGTGGTTGGTGTTGGTTGTTGTCAGGCTCTCTCCGTGAGGGTGCGGGGTGAGGTGGCGTTGCTCAGGTCAGCGTCAGGCTCTCTCCGTGTGTGGGGGGGGTCCGCCGATTTTTGCATTGCCTAGGGTGGCACAAAACCTAAACTCACCACTGACGATGGCCCATGCTTAGGCGCCGTGTAATGACATGGTCATTTGCAGTCTCCATCGGGAGTGCGTGTGATAGGTTGACACGGAAGCAGAATTGGGAGATAGTTGTCACCCCATAAGAGGAAGTGCCTGACCTTCATATTTGGATTACCAGTCATTCTTTTACGTTCGGACTGAAAGCAACTTATGGAATTACATGTAAAAATGTATAGATTTCGGTTCATATCTACTTTTGGTTCAATAAAATGTTCTCAGAAAGAGGTGAGGAATGCTGATTTGGGTGCCCGTGTGACTACAGCAGCCAATCTCAACCAGGGTTCTGGGGAATCCTAGGGTTCCTCCAGCGGTGGCTAGGGGGTTCCTTGAGCTGTGGCTGAGTGAGTTCCCATCTGATGGTGCCTGCATAGTTTTGGGGTCAACAACACTTGGTGGAACTAGCTGCATGAACCCAATGGTCTTTTTATCTGGTTCATGTGACATTCTGACCACCACTGTAAGGAGGACATTCTTCCCAGTAGCCACCAATGTATGGGGTGTTTTATCAGTGACCACCAATGAAGTGGTTATTGCAAAGGGTTCCCCTGAAATCTTAAAATAATTTCAAGGGTTCCTCTGAGCCAAAAAGTTTTGGAAAGTGCTGGTCTACAGGTTTCACTGATGAACCCCGAGAGGTGAGATGTGTTATATTAGACATAAAGGACGTATCATCTGTGCCTTATGTGGGTGTCCAGTCCTTCCTTCTGATGTATTTCCAGGAACTGAGGGAAATAATGCTGATTGCTATTACATAACACAGAACCGTGTCCTGGAGAATGCTTGTATCTTAAGGTACTCCGGAGGAATGCAAGTCGCTGTCCAAGCAATGCGTTGATGAGATTCTGTCCTGCTCGGGTTTCTCAGACAGAGTGTCAGGCCAGGCCGGCTCATTCAGGGGATTCTTATTATAGACCTACCTCATCACAAGTGTCTGGCGAGCCACCATCCTCCAAGAACTTCTCAATGATGTTCATCTTGCCTTCAGCTGCGGCTTTCAGGAATGTTTCTGGCAGGATCGGCCCCGTCTGTTGGACAGAAATTATAAGCGATGGGCATCCATGTTCATGGGTGGTGATTATTATATAACGTAAAGCAAAACATTTGGAAACAAGATTGCCCAATATTAATTTTTTTTAGAAATTTTTAAAGTCGATCTTGTGGCAGACAGCTAGATATACCGTTTGCATTCACATATGTGAAGGCTCTTAACGGCCAAAGGATTGGACATTCTGCCAAGCCGCCTTTGTGATTCATTCACCTCTGCCAGGTGAGTGACACCACTTTTTGTACTGGAGTTAGGGAATACAGTGGTGTCACCAGGGGCGGACTGACAAAGCACACCCAAAAAAGCCTACTGACCTCGGGCCCAAGGGCAGTGCCCGAGTGCTCGAATGGTCAGTCCGCCCCTGGGTGTCACCTCACGGCTCACAGCCTGCAAGTCAGTAGCAATACACTGACAAGTCATTAACTCTGCTAACTACTTATGACAGCATATGTGTGTGCAGAAGAGTCTAATTGGCTCCAAGTGCTGCCCCTCCCACTTCTAGGCCTAAGTGCTGGAGTGCACGAATTGATAAGAGCCTAATTTTGGAAGAGATTCTAGTATTTAAAGAGGAAATTCACTCCCCAGCCTCCCTCTTCCCACCCCCTTTACCAATTGGTGCCAGGACTCAGATCTGAACCTGCAGGCTCTGCTGTGTCTGGCAGTATGGAGGAGAGGCGAGGCATGGAGTAACACCAATTACACAGTGAAGTTCTGCTCAAAACTAATTGTATGAAATAATACGTAATAATTAATTAAAAGAAATATACAACTGCAATAAACAGTATTTTTATACCTGTCTGAAGTTCAGCTTTATATGTATTTTTAAAGAGTTTTAAAGTCCTCCCTAACCCTTCCTTTCTCAACCTTTTCCACCCAGAGGAATCCTTGAAATAACGTTCCAGTCTCAGGGATCCCCTGCTAAAAATGACTATCTACAACTCATGATACCTTAGTGTGATGGCTAGTGGGAAGAATTCCCACTGACCCCCAATGTAAGGAGCATTCTTCCCACTGACCCCCAATGTAAGGAGCATTCTTCCCACTGATCACCAATGTAAGGGACATTCTTCCCACTGATCCCAATGTAAGAGACATTCTTCCCACTGATCCCCAATGTAAGGGACATTCTTCCCACTGATCACCAATGTAAGGGACATTCTTCCCACTGATCCCAATGTAAGGGACATTCTTCCACTGACCCCAATGTAAGGGACATTCTTCCCACTGACCCCCAATGTAAGGGACATTCTTCCCACTGACCCCCAATGTAAGGGACATTTTTCCCACTGAATCACCAATGTAAGGGACATTCTTCCCACTGACCACCAATGTAAGGGACATTCTTCCCACTGACCACCAATGTAAGGGACATTCTTCCCACTGACCCCCAATGTAAGGGACATTCTTCCCACTGACCCCCAATGTAAGGGACATTCTTCCACTGACCACCAATGTAAGGGACATTCTTCCCACTGACCCCAATGTAAGGGACATTCTTCCCACTGACCCCCAATGTAAGGGACATTCTTCCCACTGACCACCAATGTAAGGGACATTCTTCCCACTGACCTCCAATGTAAGGGACATTCTTCCCACTGACCCCAATGTAAGGGACATTCTTCCCACTGACCCCCAATGTAAGGGACATTCTTCCCACTTCCCCATCTCACCAATGTAAGGGACATTCTTCCCACTGATCACCAATGTAAGGGACATTCTTCCCACTGACCACCAATGTAAGGGACATTCTTGACCCCCACTGACCCCCAATGTAAGGGACATTCTTCCCACTGACCCCCAATGTAAGGGACATTTTCCCACTGATCACCAATGTAAGGGACATTCTTCCACTGATCACCAATGTAAGGGACATTCTTCCCACTGACCCCAATGTAAGGGACATTCTTCCCACTGACCCCAAATGTAATGGGACATTCTTCCACTGATCCCAATGTAAGGACATTCTTCCCACTGATCACCAATGTAAGGACATTCTTCCCACTGATCACCAATGTAAGGGACATTCTTCTGATCCCACTGACCCCCAATGTAAGGGGACCAATAAAGGACATTCATTTCCCACTGATCACCCAATGTAAGGGAACATTCTTCCCACTGATCACCATGTAATGTAAGGACATTCTTCCGGCCAGATGACCAGCAATGTAAGGGACATTCTTCCCACTGATCACCCCAATGTAAGGGACATTCTTCCCACTGACCACCAATGTAAGGGACACCCTGACCCCAATGTAAGGGGGAAATTCTTCACACTGAGGCACCCCACATTCTTCCACTCTGATCACCAATGTAAGGGACATTCTTCCCACTGACCCCCAATGTAAGGGGACATTCTTCCCACTGATCACCAATGTAAGGAACATTACCTTTCCACTGACCCCAATGTAAGGGACATTCTTCCCACTGATCACCAATGTAAGGGACATTCTTCCCACTGACCCCAATGTAAGGGACATTCTTCCCACTGACCACCAATGTAAGGGACCTTCTTCCTACTGACCACCAATGTAAGGGGCATTCTTCCCACTGACCACCAATGTAAGGGAGATTCCTCCCACTGGCCACCAATGTAAGGGACATTCCTCCCCACTGGCCACCAATGTAAGGGACATTCTTCCCACTGACCACCAATGTAAGGGCAATTCTTCCACTTCTGTCATTCTTCTCTACTGACTGTTCCCCAATGTAAGGGACATTCTTCCCACTGATCCCCAATGTAAGGGAATTCTTCCCACTGACCACGAATGTAAGGGACATTCTTTCTTCCCACTGACCACCGAATGTAAGGGACATTCTTCCCACTGACCACCAATGTAAGGGACATTCTTCCCACTGACCACCAATGTAAGGGACATTCTTCCCACTGACCCCCAATGTAAGGGACATTCTTCCCACTGACCACCAATGTAAGGGACATTCTTCCCACTGACCCCCAATGTAAGGGACATTCTTCCCACTGACCACCAATGTAAGGGACATTCTTCCCACTGACCACCAATGTAAGGGACATTCTTCCCCACTGACCCCCAATGTAAGGGACATTCTTCCCACTGACCCCCAATGTAAGGGACATTCTTTCCACTGACCCCCAATGTAAGGGACGTTCTTCCACTGACCCCCAATGTAAGGGACATTCTTCCCACTGATCACCAATGTAAGGGAACATTCTTCCCACTGACCCCCAATGTAAGGGACATTCTTCCCACTGACCACCAATGTAAGGGACATTCTTCCCACTGACCCCCAATGTAAGGGACATTCTTCCACTGACCACCAATGTAAGGGACATTCTTCCCACTGACCCCCAATGTAAGGGACATTCTTCCCACTGATTCCTTCCACTGCACCAATGTAAGGGACGTTCTTCCCACTGACCCCCAATGTAAGGGACATTCTTCCCACTGACCACCAATGTAAGGGACATTCTTCCCACTGACCCCCAATGTAAGGGACATTCTTCCCACTGACCACCAATGTAAGGGACATTCTTCCCACTGACCCCCAATGTAAGGGACATTCTTCCCACTGACCACCCAATGTAAGGGACATTCTTCCCACTGACCACCAATGTAAGGGACATGCTTCCACTGACCCCAATGTAAGGGACATTCTTCCCACTGACCACCAATGTAAGGGACATTCTTCCCACTAAGGACATCCTTCCCACACCAATGTAAGGGGGACATTCTTCCCACTGACCACCAATGTAAGGGACATTCTTTCTGTAAGGGACATTCTTCCCACTGACCTCCAATGTAAGGGACATGCTTCCCACTGACCACCAATGTAAGGGACATTCTTCCCACTGACCACCAATGTAAGGGACATGCTTCCCACTGACCCCAATGTAAGGGACATTCTTCCCACTGACCACCAATGTAAGGGACATGCTTCCCACTGACCACCAATGTAAGGGACATTCTTCCCACTGATCACCAACATTATGCAAGAGTTCCTCCATGCTAAATGATTTAAGAAAGGCTTCTCTGAGTTGTATTAAGTAGGGTCAGGGTTATCCCTCGCTCTTGTGTCTACTTAATATAAAACTAGACTTGCTCTGTCCTATTGCTGTGTGTACGTTGTAGAAGGCTGTCTTGTACTTCCCAAGAAAATGATGTAAGCTCCACATTGGCCTTTAGTCAACCTTCACTATATCCACCCCATACACTTGATCTTTTCTGTAGTAAAATCAGAAGAGCTGAGTCCACTGACAGACTTACAATCTCCTCTTCTTGTGGCTCCGGTTCTGGTGCCACCACCAGCGACTTTTTTTTCTTTCGCTCCTGTCTCCTTTTGCGTATTTCAATGAAATTCTGGATTCCGCCGGGTGTCGATAATTTCCTTTCTTAAGTCCACCGATGTCTTTCTCACTCGATCTTCACCCTGCAGATGTAAATGTCCTTTAGAATACATTTTCTACTAATAAGTCCTCAGGTTCAGATTTCACAAGACTAAAAGCAATGGGCAAAGTGAAGTACCCTCCAGCAATTTATAAAAACAAAATCACTCTTCATTGATCCAAATACACTAAACTACTGAAGGTTGAAGTCCAGGTTGCTGCCCAATATGTTAATATATTCAAGTGAACCAGTGTTACCACATGCAGGACAAAACAGTAGGTTTGCTTTGTGTTCCAATCCCCTCCAAATCATGTGATTCAGGTGTTCCAATCCCCTCCAAATCATGTGATTCAGGTGTTCCAATCCCCTCCAAATCATGTGATTCAGGTGTTCCAATCCCTCCAAATCATGTGATTCAGGTGTTCCAATCCCCTCCATATCATGTGATTCAGGTGTTCCAATCCCCTCCCAATCATGTGATTCAGGTGTTCCAATCCCCTCCCAATCATGTGATTCAGGTGTTCCAATCCCATCCATATCATGTGATTCAGGTGTTCCAATCCTCTCCATATCATATGATTCAGGTGTTCCAATCCCCTCCCAATCATGTGATTCAGGTGTTCCAATCCCCTCCATATCATGTGATTCGGGTGTTCCAATCCCCTCCATATCATGTGATTCATGTGATTCAGGTGTTCCAATCCCCTCCATATCATGTGATTCAGGTGTTCCCCCTCCCCCTCCCCCTCCATGGACACAGGTGTATACAATCAAGCCCCTAGGCATGCAGACGGCTTCTACAAACATTGGTGAAAGAATGGGTCGCTCTCAGGAGCTCAGTGACTCCAAGCGTGGTCCCGTGATAGGTGGCCACCTGGGCAATAAGTCCATCCGTGACATTTCCTAGCTACTAAATATTCCACGCTCAACTGTTAGTGGGATTATAACAAAGTGGAAGCAACTGGGAACAACAGCCACTCAGCCACCAAGTGGTAGGCCACGTCACATGACAGGGCGGGGTCAGCGCATGCTGAAGCGCACAGTGCGCAGAAGGAGCCAACTGTTTGCAGAGTCAATAGCTAAAGACCTCCAAACTTGGTGTGGCCTTCAGATGAGCCCAACAACAGTGTGTAGAGAGCTTCATGGAATGGGTTTCCATGGCCGAGCAGCTGCATCCAAGCCTTCTATCACCAAGTGCAATGCAAAGCGTCGGATGCCGTGGTGTAAAGCACACCGCCACTGGACTCTAGAGCAGTGGAGACGTGTTCTCTGGAGAGGAAGTGTACAATCCAAACGCACACGTTGCTTAGTTAAAAATGGCTGTGTGTATAAGTAGGTGCTGCAGCGACTGTCGGCTGGAACCAAACAGAATCAGCAAGGGAGAATGCCACCAGCACACTGAGGATCACCAATATGGGTCCAAAGTTTTAATGAACGATCACATAGTTACAGCAAGGCAACATTTCAGTGTTTTGCAGGACCCCTTCATCAGGCATGTGACCTCTCTGTAGAGACCAATCATGCTTCTCTGCCTGGCAATCCGATGGACGTGTCTGGGTTTGGCGGTTTCCAGGAGAACGGTACTTGCCTGACTGCATTGTGCCAAGTGTAATGATTGGTGGCATTTTGGACAATTTCATGCTCCCAACTTTGTGGGAAGAGTTTGGGGATGGCCCCTTCCTGTTCCAACATGACTGCACACCAGTGCACAAAGCGAGGTCCATAAAGACATGGAGGAGCCAGTTTGGGGTGGAGGAACTTGACTGTCCTGCACAGAGTCCTGACCTCAACCCCATAGAACACCTTTGGGATGAATTAGAGCGGAGACTGCGAGCCAGGCCTCCTCCCCCGACATCAGTGCCTGACCTGACAAATGTGCTTCTGGAAGAATGGTCCAACCTTCCATAGACACCCTCCTAAACCTTGTGGACGGCCTTCCCAGAAGAGTTGAAGCTGTTATAGCTGCAAAGGGCGAGGCCAACTCAATATTGAACCCTACGGACTAAGACTGGGGGGCCATTAAAGGTCATGTGCGTGGAAAGGGCGGGGCCAACTCAATATTGAACCCTACGGACTAAGGCTGGGGGGCCATTAAAGTTGGAAAGGCATGCGGCCCAATACTGCAGGCAATATTGTGTATATACAGGGGGGCCATTAAAGTTCATGTGCGTGGAAAGGCAGGTGGCCCAAAACTTTTGGCAATATAATGTGTGTGTCAGCTGAGAAGAATTGATACATTACTTGTAGACCATAGAGAGGAAACACAAATGTACATGACGTTCCATTAAGCACAGCTCTAGTGCTCCTATACTGGAATACACAAGGCCAGGGGCGGACTGACCATTTGGAAACTCGGGCACTGCCCGAGGGCCCGGGGTCAGTAGAGGGCCCCATGAGATGCCCCTGGTACCTTTTTCATAGGCTTTTTTGAGTTTGGGCAAGGACACGGGCCCCATGATCCCCTAGTGCCCGGGGGCCCCATGAGTTGTCAGTCCGCCCCTGCACAAGACATTCCCTTGACTGAGAGCTGTGTCTAGTATCAGATGAGCTAGAAGCCTGTCTGTACCTGTGACACCCAGATGGTGCTTTTATTATTTTAGAAAGGTGAAATGTAACACTTCTTAATGGAGATGTAAATGGAATCACTCAACAATGTATCAGGGTTCATTCAGACCAGTCGCTGCTTCACGACACAGAAGCTGCTGTACAGTGTGTATGTTGGGATCGCCATTGATGCAGCGATCTTAGTGCATTGCAGTGTTTTACTTTTTGTTTTTAAATGAACTTTATTGAAATGTCACACAGACATTTAATTAAGTTCAACTGGCCGCCATGCAGTGCCAAGCAGCAGATTGCCTGTATGCAGTGCTTTTAGTTCAGCGCACACCACCACCACGCAGTGGTGTGAACCAGGCACACAGGAGGCAAGGCATTTTGGGCCTGTGCTGGAATAGCTGCCCAACACTGTCCTGCAGCATCTGGTGTGTATGAACCCTTGGAGCTAAGATGGGAAACCCATGAGGGTAAAAGGAAGGTGAACTAACAATGGAAAGGAAGTTGGAGATTATTTAGAGGTTTGGTAAAATTGTTTAGGGAGGATTTTTAAACCGGGGGAAGGAGGATGTCTCAGGGGTGGAGGGGTGCATCGCAGTGGCCCCACTGGGAGGAATCCTGGTTTCTCAGAAGCTATACAGTTTTAGGTGTCATCTCCATATCCATTAAGGCACTCTTGGGAGTCAGCCAAACCAAACTTGGGTGACTGCTCGCGAACAGGGGAAGTCAACATATCTTGTTATATGGAAGAATTAGTGGCTTGGATGCTGGGTCCATTAAGCTGCCTTTGTTGTGGCTTTGTGAGATGTAATTCTGAAAGAAGTTAAATGATGGTGGATGGTGGTGGGGTTTAAAGTTGAACTCCAGGAATTATCTTTTAGCAACTTACATAGGTCCAGCTTGGTTTGATATCTGGAGGGCCACTGGTGATACAGAAAATCATTGTGGAAGTCTGCGCTACATACAGTGATGGCTCTGATTTTCTGGGTCCTGTCTCAACTGGGTTCCTCTCTAAATACTGACCACAGGGGGTTACCCGTTTGGAATTGTCACCATCCATAGGATGTCTTGTATTTTTTCAAAAGAATACAAGTCTTTCCTTGATTGGACAAGGTAAAGTAGATGGGTGGAGATTGTGTCATCACCACCCCTTCTCCCCCCACCTCATCCAACCAGAGAAAACTTTGTATTCATTATTTAAAAATTCAAGGCATCCTATGAATGGTATGAATGGTGGGGGTGCTGAGTGAATAATCCACTGCGGTCAGAGTGTGGAGGGGAAACCGCTCAGTACAGGACCTGGAAGATCATGGCTATCATGGCTACTTTAGGTATAAGTTTCGATTCAAAACAACATGAAACACATTCAATACATTATCACCACTTAACTGATGTTTAAAAAAAAAAATACCTTCAAGTTGGCCAGATTTCGATTGATTGGGGATTTGATGGTTTCCTCATTGATGGCGCTGCAATCTATGTCGATCACTCCAATCTTCCGAAATCGAGGTTTAATTATCTATAGAATAACAAATTAAATATAATGTAAGTGTCCTCACAGAGATTCCCTGGGATAAGCATTTGATTCCTTTACATGATGTAGCAGACAGCAGAGAAGATCCACAAGCATATCATTCTGCATTGCAAAACAGAAGAGAGCTAAATGAGGAACAGGCTATTTGATGCTGTGGCCCCATATGTCGGAGTTTCATTGTTTGGGAGCACCGCTGTGAGTTTTCAGTAAATCTGAGTTCACAGAATGGCTTTCTAAATAGAAACCTTCAGAATATTATTTGGTCTTCAGACTAAAAACTACTTTGAGAGCCCATTACAGTGTGTAGATCTAGTAGTGGCTGGTCAAATTCAACTGGCCTTGTTCTGGACATATGAGAACCTTCACAAACATGAGTGGTCACAACATAGCCAGTAGTGGTTACTCACCTTCAACTGATCTTGTTCTGTAATGTTGAAGATATTCCACAGCTTATCCAATCCACTTCTTCAGTTCTAATGAGTGTCAAGAAAACTTGCAGAACAATTCCAGTTGAATGTGACCAATTAATCTAGACATATCTTGGCTTGGGAACCTTCACAAACATTAGTGGTCACAACATAGCTAGTAGTAGTTGGTCACATTCAACTGGACTTGTTCTGTAATGTTGCAGATGTTTCGTAGCTTCTCCATTCCACTTCTTCAGTTCAAATGAGTGTCAAAAACATGCAGAACAAGACCATTTGAATGTGACCAACTACTACTAGATATACCATGACCTGGACACATGACAACCTTCACAAAGATGAGTGGTCACAACATAGCCAGTAGTGGTTAGTCACCTTCAACTGATCTTGTTCTGTAATGTTGAAGATATTCCATAGCTTCTCCAATCCACTTCTTCAGCTCTAATGAGTGTCAAGAAACTTGAAAAACAATTCCAGTTGAACGTGACCAATTAATCTAGACATACCTTGGCTTGGGAACCATCACAAACATTAGTGGTCACAACATAGCTAGTAGTAGTTGGTCACATTCAACTGGACTTGTTCTGTAATGTAGCAGATGTTTCGTAGCTTCTCCATTACACTTCTTCAGTTCTAATGAGTGTCAAAAAACTTGCAGAACAAGTCCATTTGAATGTGATCAACTACTACTAGATATACCATGACCTGGACACATGAGAACCTTCACAAAGATGAGTAGTCACAACATAGCCAGCAGTGGTTAGTCACCTTCAACTGATCTTGTTCTGTAATGTTGAAGATATTCCATAGCTTCTCCAATCCACTTCTTCAGCTCTAATGAGTGTCAAGAAGTTAAATGTGATCAATTACTACTAGATATATTATGACCTGGACACATGAGAACCTTCAGCTTAACCTTTCCAGCTTATCCAAGCTTCTTATTCAGTTCTAATGAGTGTTGGAAAACTTACAGAACAAGTGTAGTTGGATGTTACATACTACTACTAATTATACCATGACCCTGGATACCCCTGAACCTTAACAGACATGACGGATTGCAACATAGCTAGTTGTGGTTAGTTACAATTAACTGGACTTGCTCTGTAATGTTGTCTCCAAGCCACTTCTCCATTTCCAAATAATGTCAGGAAGATACACCAGTATCTTTAGGGGGTATGTTATAGGGTATGTTCCTGAAATTTTATTAGAACTGAAGAAGTGTCTTGGAGAAGCTATGAAACATGTTCACAATTACATACCAGGTCCAGTTGAATGTGACCAACTACTACTAGCTGTACCATGACCTGGATAAATGAGAACCTTCAC